CTTTCCGACCTAGCTGACTCGCTCGCCAACACTTTCACACTAGACTCTTGTGAACCAGAAGGTTCTAGCTGGCTGATTGGCCGAGGTCAAATGTCAGGCCTTCTTGGTCTAAGAAGGCTCCATTGTACCATGTCTGCTCTGAGTGACCCCATTGGTGTTTGAAACATCAGTGGTAATAAATACTTCCAGCATCCTAGCAACATGCAGGTCCCCTACAGAACCGCAAAATGACAGACAGGTGGCGGACGGCATTAGTCCTGAGGGGGATGCAAATCTAAACCACAGTGACCCTCACACCCACTAGGCTGGCTAGTCTCGGGAAAAGAATGAGGCCCCTTGTCCACTGTTGGTAGAAATGCAAAATAGTATATAACCACGGTGAAAAACAGTTCAACAGAATGAGCGTATTGTCCAGCCATCCCACTCAGGAATACACTCAAGAGAACTAAAAGCAGGGACTCGGCTAGATACAGATGCAACAGTGTTCACTGCAGTATTATTCACAATCGCCGGAAAGGAGGAAATTACCCACGTACCCCGCGATGGGTAAACTAGTGCATGTGTATAATGAAACACTGCCACAAGCAGAAATGAAGGTGTGATATATGCCATGGCATAAATGAACCTTGGAAACCTGCTAAATAAAATAAACCAGATAAACACGAACAGTATATGGTCTGTCAAGGATACTGGCATAGAAGCCAACATTTATTAAGTTACCAACGGCAGGAGGGACGAGAACATAGAGTTACTGATGAAGGAGCCCGGGGTTTCTGTTTGAGATGAAGAAAGTTTTTTAAAACAGTGGTGGTGATTGTACCCCACCACCCAAACCACAAATAAATACAGCATGGGCCAGACCCGAGAAGACAACCTTGGTTCTTGGAGAACTAGCACCTCAGAGACTTCAAGTTTACTGACTGACAAGCCCAGTATTTCTTGGGAACTAAGAAAACCTTCTCCCTTTCAGTTGTAAGGTCTATCTGGAGGCTCTGTGAAATGTCCTGAAATCAGGAGTCATTAAGGAGATTACATTGTCATCAAGAGCACCAAGTCCAAGATAAGAATGTTGCCTAAGATGCATCTTTTAGGCCTTCTTCCCCACCCCTTCCAAATGGTTACTAAGCTAAATATTCCTCCCCTGGAGGCCTATTCATTTTAATGCAATATGTACTGGATTGAGAGGCATAACCACGATGATACAGGGGCATGAAAGACATTTCAGACCCTAAAAGGCCCATAGAGACTGGAGCGCCCACTGGTCTGGTTTTATGTGGAAGAAAGCTGAAATCCAGGAAAATTACGTTAATTCCCAATGTTTCATTCACCATGGAATGGGTCTAGACTGAGCGGAAATGAAGACCAGCTCCTCTCTACTTCTGCCCTTTGAGCACACGCGCAGGTACACATGCACAGCAGGGGCGAGCGAGGTCCCGGCGGGGACTCATCTGGTCAGGAGCAGTAGAAAGCACAATAAATGGAGAGTTAGCGCAGTCTTAAGCTCACTGGCACTCCGGTTTTCTCTGCTGCTGGAGATGTCACCTAACCTCTTGAAAACCTTTGCACACCCGGACAGATCCTCAGCGACAGAAAGATCTGACCCAGTCATTACAACTCTCAGCAACGAAAACCATGCTGGGCCCAAGCGACTTCCCTAGTCAATTCTACCAAACATTCAGAGAAGAACTGACGCCAATTTGAGTCAGATCGTTCCAGAGAATAGAGAAGGGTGGAAAACCCCTGGCACCAAACCCAGGCGAGGACATCTCTGAACTAGGACCTGATGGGCCAATATCCCTCATGTGCTCACCAATTCTGAACAAAACGCTAATATCAAAAAGATAGTAATAATCCATCTGGACCCAGTGGGCCTGATATCAGGCCTCCCAGGATGGCTCACATTAGCAACGCAATCCGTGTGATCCATCACCTACACAAAGCAAAAGAAAAGCCTCACTTGTCCGT